TTAAACTCTTTCCTAATTGTAGCTTGTATTAGATGATCAGTTTTGAAATCTATACTCGCAGTAGCTTCATCCATTATAATCACTTTGGAATGACGAACTAGCGCTCTGGCCATTGCAATTAGTTGTTGCTGACCTTGAGAAAAATTTGATCCATTTTCTTTGACAGGCGAGTCAAGCATTATTGGTTCATGTTTGTGATTTGTCTGATCTGAAATAGGAAGGATAATATCTGACCCTTCGTTTTCAGATGTAGGATTGGAATTTTTAATTAAGTGTACAAGACGAAGCGCGTTCCATAACTCAAGATCACTATGCTTGTTGAATGGGTCCAAGTTGCTTCTATTTTTTTTTTTTTTTTTAGAGAAATTAAATGTTTAGTTAACAGAAATGCTTTAATAATAAATATATAGAATCAAGAATTTTGTTTACCTTATAGTACCATTAAATAGTACAGGATCCTGAGGTATGATAGTAATATTACTTCTAAGATCTTTTAATCCAATTTTACTAATATCAACATCATCAATTACAATACTTCCAGAAGTTGCTTCAATAAATCTAAAGAACGACTTTGCCAATGTTGATTTTCCACATCCTATTATTTAAGAGAAGTTAATATTCGAATCTCAATAATTCTCAAACTAAGGTCTAAAATTTACCAGTTCGACCAACAACTCCAATCTTCTCAGCAGCGATAATATTAACTGAGATACCTTTTAAAACTAGAGGACTATCAGGTCCAAATCTTTAATATGCACTTCTCCATGAGCTGGCCATCCAGGTGGTGGCCTGTTGTTTAGTATTATATCCTCAGCTTCTACTTCTATATTGTCACTGTAGTGAACTAAACGTTCCACTGAGTTCATATTGGCTTCCTGTTATATGAAAGTAAAAAATTAGTAATTTAACATTTATTATTAAAATATTATTATTTACTCACTACTTCGGCAAATTGTTGAACACACCAATTTAAAGATACGCTAACTTGAAGTGCATAAGATAATACTAATCCAGTAATTGAGGGTGGAGTGTTGAATCTAAAAATTATTGCAAACAAACTTGCAAAAAATACTACAATATTTGCAATAGTGTCAAGACGCACTGAAAGCCATAATTGGGTGCATATGGTGAGAAAGTATGCCCTGTTTTCAATATCTAAGAATGCTTCATTATTTCTATTTAATTAAATAAAAAGAAAAGATTATTAAGAAATTATATTAAACTAATAAAGCATCAAATTTTTAAAAACCTCAAAAATCTTTCTTCTTCATGGTAAGCACGAATAATCGGCAGTCCTGTAAGTGTCTCAGAAAAATGAGCATATAGCGAAGATCTTAATACTGAATCAAGGCCTATAATAAAGTAAAAATAGTAAAAAATTTTAAACATACATTATATATAATTATTATTAGACAGTGATGAAAATGATTAATTACGCTTTAACTCGCGATTCGATGCACGATAAAAAAGAGCTACTAAATAATAAAGTAATGCCAAGGGAACCAGTGGAATAATGAACCACACAAATACCACTACTATTAAAATAAAAGTTCCAATAGCAGTCGAAAAGGTCGTAAAAAACATTCGATACAATTCAGAAAGTAAGTTGTCGCATGTATCAACGTCTTTACTGAATCTGATAATTAATGAATTTGAATTAGAAAATATTAAAAAATAAGACATTTAAATATGACAACTACCGATTAATAATTCTTCCTAAAGGAGTGGTATCAAAAAAACTTGTTGGCGCTCTTAAGACACGTTTAATTGCATTATTATGCAATCTTTTGGGTATGTATTTTTAAAAGAGAATTTTTAATGATTTAAAATATTAATTCTCTCCAAAATTAGATGCTGGAAACGTAGTTGAATTCGATAGTCCATACATACTGATGCAAAAGCATGATGGGTTATTTAGAGAAATGTGTGAGAGAAGTGGTGAATTTGAAGAATTAATGGAAATTGCTAAACAGAAGTATGAGGGTATATCATCGACACATTGATGCATTTACTAACATTCAATGGAATAATGAATTTACATGTGAAATGTTGAATTTAGGTTTACTAAAAATGCATTAAAATGCACTATAGGTGTTACTATATCCAAAAACAACTTAGCATTAATACTTAGTGCTCAAAATATAAATATTTGGTGCTTCAAGCTCATTTTTTAAAACCTAATCCTAATACCTAATCATAAATATATGATGTTTAACATTCAAGTTGTATTTAAATTTTATGTAAACCATATACATTGTTATAATGAAGTAAATATTATAATAAAATTAGGGATGTTATCCTGCTAATCCACCGATCACTATATCAAGATCACGTAATAATACCCTGACCGTATGTGAATAAGCGGAAACTTCGTTTCCGCTGATTCCAAACGGATCAGGATATTATTATTACTTAAATCTGCTAGTAGTATATAACAAGCACCCGATTTGTCACATGCAATATGGAGTTAAATGATCGACGCACCTAAATTTTATATTGTAAAATTTGGGCAAATTTTGCTTTCTAGGCTTATTTAATAATAAAGGAGTTGTCAGTTTAATTTCTGTTAATAATTTCACAATTTCTCTAGAATTCGAAGGTTCTTGTTACGAAATTTTAAGGGTGGTAAGAAATAAGCTTGAGACGAATCATGATCACGAAGTTGACCAATTTTTTTACGATTTTTGCTGGTAGTTTATATATGATAAATAGTGATGGGCAAATCGCGGTGTTTAAAAACCCCATCATCCTGCATGGGATCACGCGCGTGATCCGTGGGATAGAGTAAAATTTTTTAATTTCTCACGAATAATAAAAATATATATAAAGATCATGACCAGGAATACAATGTTTTGCCAAAATAATATATTTTAAATAATCATTTCTTAATAAATCTTAATAAATCTTATTGTATTTATTATGAATAAAAATGCTTATATAGATTTGTCTATTTTAAAACATATATAAAAAAATTTCGTACATAATTTAAGCTTAAAATCTAAACTCCCTTTAATATTCCAGCTATTATTACAAATCATCTAAACAGAGAACATACTGTTCTCACTGTTCTCCAATACCTTCCATACACTGTAAATAAAGGTCTTCGATCGACCTTAAAATTTCTCAAAAAATCTATCATATATTTAACATAATTCTGTATGAAGTAAAGGATATATCGTTTTATATATAAGCAATAAATTGTAAAGCAAATCATTTGTTCAAAAAATCAGGAATATAAATAATAATGTACTTACACGTTTGTGATGTTCCTCAATTTTATTATTATAATCTAGAGATTTTTGTTTTTTAAACTACTTGAATAAAGGTTAAAAGCATCATTAAATTCTTTTTCTTCTGTATTAGGTAAATATTTGTAAAAAAAATTCATAATATTTGAGTTCCTCTTTAGTTTTTTAGGATTTAGCGATTCTACCAAACATCTACGTAAGAAATAATCTTGAGGTTTTCGTTTGATTTCTGTAAAAGAGTCTATTAAAATCTTTCCAATGTCATCTAATTGACTTTCTAAAAGGTTGAATATATCGAGGATGATATTATAATTTAAATGAAACCCTAGATTGATTAATTCAGTAAGCCGCGTCTTAACAGTTTTAACGTCAGGTTTAGTCCATCCGGAAGGTTGTACAGGAATAAAAAGAATTAAAAGCGCTCCTTGCATTACTAAATCATTGACATCCTCGCAAATTTCAAAGTAACCAATTTCTTTCCATAGAAGTACTAGATCTTTACGGATTAAAATTGCACGCGCAATTATGTTAAGTTGCCGATTATTTTCATGTCCATCTTTTAGTGGATGCTCTTCCGGCGAATTAATTAGCACTTCATTAGATTTTCTCGGCGGAAATGGTATAAATTTCATACGTAAGATTAGGTCTGTAATTTCTTCAATATTTTTTTCTAAAACCGTTGGTGCATAATTGATAGTATGAGGACCTCCAGAAAGAAAATGGAAAAGCTCCATATCATTTCCTTTCAGATATAAATTAGCGTTGAATTTACTTGAAGCATCTGTTAATAAAAATATATAAACAGAAATTGGCAAATTACTGGCCCAGGGAATTATTCTCTGCTGCAAAGCCTTGATTCTATCAATATCTGTTTGTCCCACACTATGAACAATATTTAATTCAACAAGTTTTTTGTCGTAATTTCCATAGTGAATAAGAAGACGTTGTGCAAAGTATCTCGAAAGAATTCCACCCTTAGTAATAATAGCACGAGCAACTTCAACAGAGATAAATGTTGGACCTAATCTTATAGCATGGAAGAGACAGTG